TCTGGTCCAAGAATAATGCAGTCCTGAGCTATCCCACAGCTTGCAAAAGCAAAGAACACCAAGGTTTTCATAACTGACCCTTAACTCATGCAACAGAAAAAATCTGCACCCTCTCACAAAGAACATAAGTTTTTGCAGTACTTTTATAGTGACAGCAGTTTCCAGTCTATGGAGAGCACTGGCATCCACCCAGAACAACTCTCCTTCTTACAAGACCTTGGCACCTGACCTCCAATCCAAGGGCATCAGATACCACCACTACCTGAAAAAGAAAATACCCAGGAGTCAGCGTGTGCATATAGGTGATGTATAGGAGTGAAAATCAAGTGGCTAGTGCAGACAGGTGTTCCGTCTTACTGATCAAACTCTCTGCTTAAAATACACTTCAGGAAGGAGGAGAGCTTCATCTGCAACGGACAGAAATGTCAACAGTTGAGAGGGGCTCACTTTACTTTGCAGAAGTCAAACATCTTGACTCTGAGGAAGGCAAACATCTCCTAAGACTCTTCTGAAGCCCAGCAAAAGGGAAAAAAATATCCTACTTACTTCCTTTATGAAAATGAAAATATTACTGGGATCAGTCTCCCGGCGCTGTGGATGGATAAAAGTGCGGCATCACAGCTCATGAAAGCAATTCTGAAACCTGGCTTATTAGTCCAGCCTCTTGTCCTGGCCAAGACACCTCTGTTGTCTTGACATCTCCTTGTTAAAATCCTTATTACCACCTTATTTTTCACCATAAAAAAAGAAATGGATATTGTGAGGTTTATTTTGAAGTTGAAACACTGTCATCATGCCCAGTTCGGGAAAAAACATGTGTGGGAATAATGGAGCGTAGGTGCGTTCAACTGTCTGGAGCCAAGGCTAGAGGCAAATCAGATCAGCTCAGCTAGAAATGTGACAAGGTGTAATTAACATTAGATGATTACTTAATTTCACTACTGATTTTATTAATAGAACTTGAAATAAAAATTAAATTAGGAAGAATCCCGCACCTCACACCCTGAATAGTCTCCGTGTGTCCTTTCTGCCCTGAGTTCAGACCTGCAGCAATACCATGGTGACAGAGTTGGAGACAGAGTGCCTCTCTAACAGCTCCAGGCTCATGGAGCTGCATGCCTGCTGGCTGCTAGAAGCATGTAGTTATTTCACCACAGATACTCCCAGCCCAATGTGTTCCCATGTCCTCAGTGCAGGGCAGCCCGGGACTTGAAGCTGTTCTTGGCTCCCAAAATGAACCGTCAGCCCCAAAAGACCTTTGATTCAAAGGGCAATCAGTGCTTCATTTTTCAGGGCTTTAAGGATATAGCCTGGAAATGGATCAACCTAGTTTGTTTTTTTAGCCCTGTGTTGAGTGCAAAGTTGTGCATATGCAAAGAGTTTGCAGGAAGCTCAAACCCCTCTACTTCTGACCAAAACAGCTTCCTTCCCCCATAATCTCTCATTTCTTCTATGGATCTTGACAGCAATATTCACAGCTTACAAACTCTGGTGATAGGAGACAAGTGAATGTGATTTTAAGACCATCAGATGCTCATTTTAATACTACAGACTCCTGACAAAGAACACCTTGCTCCTGAGCTTTGTACACAGGCTTCAGAGGCAGCAGACCTGTCCCTGTTGCTACTGCCCATTTCATTCAAGCAGACCTTTGTGACCATCATACCATCTTTGTAGTTCCTGATCCGGTGAGTAGAAATCTGTTCTGGTGCCCTTCGTCCCATCTCTGGTGTCAGCAGAACTTCCAGGGAAGGCTCAGGCCTCTGGATTACATTCCTTCTCCATGCATGCTGCACGGGAATGTAGGACTAATGTCAGGACCTGCCTTCACAGAGCATTAACAGGAGCTGAGGGCCTGTTTGTCCTCCTGCACTGCAAGGGCTGGGGTACCGGAAAAGAGAGATGTTCATGGTTATGAATCTTGCAGGCTCTTCGCTGCTCACATTCATTGATTCTGACCTGCTTCACCAAGATGTGCTGTTTTTAAAGTGTGGATTATGTTTCTGTGTCATAATTGCCAAACACTTTCTTGTGCCTTTTGTGAAAGCAACTGACAGTACCTGTGATCTCTCCTACACTTCACCAAGATCATAGTCTGGATCTCACCTTTTGCCATTATCTATAGCTCTGACTTCAAGGGGCACAAGATTTGGCCTCTCAGACCCATTAATTATTTCCAGCTTTGTTTTTTAAATATGACTGCACAGAACTCAACTTACTTCACTTTTCATCAAGTAATGGTCCCAGAGCATGCTGCCTAAGCATGCAGTAGGTGGTCAGAACCACGATCTTCGGCAAAGCTGCAAAGCCCATTACCTGCAGCTCTCACAACTCCTGTCTTACACCTTTAGCAAGCACTGATCCAAAGTGCAAGGTTAGCTTACCCTTTGCCCTTTTCCAAGAAGGCTAATTCTGGAGAAAGAATTCTAATCTAAAGCCAGCATGCATTTTTTTCACCATGAGAAAACAAATCTAGGATTATCTGGACCATGAGAGCCTCTGTGCACGCTGTATTGTTCATGGGCACACATTTTTTCCTGATCTTTCTCTTCCTCCAATACTGTTGTTTTATTTTTCTTTCTTTTTTTCCTTCTTTGTTTTCTTTTTCTGTCTTTCTTTCTTTTTCTTTCTTTTTTTCCTTCTTTGTTTTCTTTTTCTTTATTTATTTATTTTTCTTTCTTTCTTTTTCTTTCTTTTGCTTTCTTTTTTTCTCTCTTTTCTTTCTTTCTTTTTTTCTTTTCTTCTTTCTTTCTTTCTCTTTCTCTCTTTCTTTTTTTTTCTTTCTTTTATTCTTTTTTTTCCAGCCCTAGCCAACTCCTACTGCAACTTTATATACACACTAAGGTATGCTAAGCTTTCATTTCCATTTTAAACATTACAACAGGTAGTGAAGCTTTCTGCCTCTATAGCTATCCCAGCAAAGACAACTTCTTCCCCTTTTTGCTCCTACCTCTGATCAGGGATATAAAGACCTTGCAGCTAATATAATATATCATATCTTTTTTTCCCTTTAAATACTACTTTCATCTGGATTTTGCAAAACCGCTTTTATTTCTCATAACTAGAGCATTTCTGTTCAGAGAGATACTGCTTAAAGCTACCCCCATACCAACTCAGGTAGTCTCTTGCAAATTCAAATTCCAGTGGCATTTGCGAAATGACTTATTTGGGGTTTTGCTTTTGATTTGCTGATGTCCTTCTCTAATATTTTACAGTGTTTTCCAAATACAGTCCAGTAGGAATTGTCTTGTTTTCCCTGCAGGAGGCCACCCCGGTTCTGCACAGCAGGGTACCAAACTTGGACCACTTTTCCAAGTTTTTCCAAGTTTCCAAGGCACCACAAGGACAGGATGACCTAGGAACCTTCCTACTTCTCCCTTTGGGACTTCTGATTCAGGGATCCCACCAGTCTTTCAGTATTCCTTGATGTTAGGGTGTCAAGGCTCTCCTAAATGATTCAAAGGGTCTTCCTCCATTTTTATAATTCTAAGAATCTTCAGGCACATCTTTGTGTGTACCAAGGGAGCTTTGTTTTGAAACTATTGATGCTATGGGAATACCATACAGCACACATGACTATAAGACATATATCTGTCTGTTTATTCCTAAGTCCACAGAGAAAATCCTTAAGACGTGGGTCAGTTTTCAAGTAGAGAAAACCTTCACCCACTGTCACCAAGAGGATGAACAGACTTCAGCTTTGTTCACCAGTAGGCTCACGATGCATGAGGTGGCCCACAGTGGGTTGAGAACACACTCCTGCTGCAGTGCAGAGCTCTGCGGGGAGAACTGACCGTCTCTTACATCCTTCTCTGCAGTGACAAATAGACACTGAAGCAAATTCATGCAGCTGTCAAAACACTGCTCCTCTCAACAGACCTCATTCTACTTTTTCAAAAATACAGACTTCATCGCTACAAATTAAGCCTGAAAATGTGACAGCCAGAGTGCTGGCATCTGTGGAGTAGAATTATTTCTTTACATCAAGTAAACAAGTTGTTATGCACCAAATCAATTCCTCACTCCAGAGCTGGTCCTGTAGGGCCTGAGCAGCCCACATTGCTGCTCACTCAGTTCAACCCCAGTAGAGGCTTTGGCAAGACTTCCCCACTAAGGTGGCTGGAGTGCTCAAAGGGATTCCATTTAAGGCAGGGCAGGGATTTCATGCTTTCCCTCCAGCTCTTCAGATGGAGATCCTGCCTTTGAAGACAGCCCCTATTCCCAGGGGCCAGTGGGAACAAACCCTTGAGGTGCCAGCACCGCACTCCCTAAGGACACCAAGCCTGGTGTCAGGAAGTCCCACCAATGCCAGGCAGAGTAAGGGAGCTCAGCATCCTTTTGAAGGCTCCCAGCACCTCATGTGGAAGGGGACCGGGATCAGGAGCTGGCAGTCAGCCAGCAAACGCCTGTGGAAATCACCACGAAACAACAGCCTGAAATAGGTTTCCATCTGAGACAGGCCAAGGAACAACTCTGGATCCAGGCACTAGGTCTTGCTTTTCTTTCTGATGGGAATGAACAGACTAGAGGAGAAATCAAAACTTCAGTGGAATAGGAGACTAGAGAAAATATTTGAAGAGAATATCTTCTCCAATAGGTAAGAGACTGAGGTATGCAACATATGAAAAGATGGGAAGCTTGTTGCTCCTGTCAACCATCCCTGTTTAGGCTGGTAGTGGAGAAGGAAAAAAAGGGCGTTCCCTTAAAAAATGTAATTGAGTGAGACATAAATCATGAGTCAGTTCACTTGGAGTGAATTAATTTTGGCTGCTGTGAAGAGTGAGGAAGTGAAAAACTCCAGTTGGGTGCCCAAGGGAGGGGAGGAGAGGAGATAAGATATGAGGTAGGTGATGAAAGGGATGCAGAAGGATAGAAATGTGAGCAGGTTAGAGTTGATAAAACATTGTGCTCTAGGTCCTAATTTTCCCATTCTGGTGGCTTGGAAGTGTGCGACAGAGTTGATGAAACAGCCCACAACAAAGAGACAGAGACACCAGGCCACTTTTCAGTTATAAGCTTTTTCTTTTTTAGAATTCAAGCTTACACAGTTATCTATGCCCACTATATTCATAATTACATTTTAATATCTGCATACAAAAGCTATGTAAAAATTATTTTCTTCCCCCAAATATACAAATTTTCTCTTTAGATAGTTTAAAACATTTGTGATCACAGATTTTTTTTAATATATTTTAGGCTGAAAAAATATTACCAATCTAGCATAACTCTTAACACTGTTTGCAAAAAAATACATCATCCAAGGTACTTTGTTTTTTTACTGTACGGTGTAATGTTTGCCTTACCCTCAGGGCATGAAATTGATATTAAAAAAATAAACCAAATAAGCAAAACCCACAAACCTCATAGACAAAATAATAAGTCCTCCCAACCAACTTAATAAAAACAAATAAACAACCCAAACCACCCTTCTCTTCAAAAAAATTATGAATTACTAATTTGATGTATTTATGAGCAAACTAAAACTGAAGAGTGCTAAGGAAGTAGGAAAAAAGAAATTACAGTATGTCAGCTAGTTCATGCCCTGATACTATCTTTACCGACATTAAATGTGTAATTAAATAAAGTGTCTTTTAATGTTTTACATTGTGCTCAGTAATTTACATAAATTTAATCCACACCCGGGTGCTGATGTAGATTTACATTTGATTGTCTTGTGCATAAACAAGGTTAGCTTTTAAAGAAGGTAAACTGTGCAATGGACAGTCACAAACAACTTATTACCTGCACAATATTGCTTTTTGAAGGCGACATCAGTCAATGTGGATACACACAAATAATGCATACTCTTTGCATTTGCTAACATCTATACTAAAACTCTGTGATAAGGCCAAACCTTTTTTTTTTTGTTTTTAATTTTAAAGCAAAAATATACCATAGTAAAAAAAAAAAAAAAACAAAACCAAAAACGTGCTCACACCGTTTTGAGTCTGTAAGTGGAAAATAAATCTCTATCGCACTAGAATAAAATTCTCTCTATAAAATTTAAATACAGATCACTTCATTACTATATCAAAAGGAAACGTCTGGCAATCATTTCCAGATGATCACAATAACAAGACACATTAAGAGGTTCTGATGCCTCTTCCTTTGTGAAAAGATAAATGTTGAACACTTTCAATTGCTCTCACAGTGAGAGGAAAACGTTCCTTGGTTGTGGATTTTGATTCTGTCAATGAAAAAGGTTTAGCCTTAGGAATGCTGGCTACATCTCAAAACCATAAGATTGATTTTTATAATTTATGATTCATGCAGCAAGAAGTCAATATGACACATACAGATTAGAGTTCCATAGCATAAAAATACATCACTAGCAATGACATGCTCCGCTTGTGATCAACAGCCCTCTCTTGGCAGATTTCTGATATAAATGGTCTTTCTGGATAGTTTTTATCTCTTTCTGATGCCTGCCTCTGAAGATGCAAGCAGTCTGCTCAAGGATGATTTTCAACCTTGGAGGTCTAACTCTAACGTCTACATTTTGGCAGAATGTAAACAAAAATCATTATCACACGCTATATATGTCATTATAAATATCATAACTTAACTGAGATTACACATGAAATGAGTGTCTAAATGCACATGTTACTCAGGGCGAAACCATGAACGGTGACAATCAGGTTTGACAGGAAAAATCTTCTGTGTAAGACCCACACATAGACCACAAAGCAAACATAAGAGCTACGTGGCACCATCAGAAACGAGACTCTGGACTGCACTAGAATGTGTGTGCTTGTTATTTCACTCAGAAGGCCAGTTACTACAAAGGGTGCTGACTACAGTACTGTTGTCTGCCACTGAGGTGGTCACTTGCAGTGGCTCAATGCCGCGATGGCTTGAGACCACTGATATTTAAAAGCATGTATGTCTTGGCAGAACTAAGGTCAGTATCCACTGGCAAGAGTCTGCAAGAGCATCCTCATGTGGTCTAGTTTTGCTCTCATGATCACACAAATCAGCAGTTGTACTGAGGAAGTAAATGAAGTCACACAAAGTAAGACTGGTAGGAGATTAGAGGCCATTAGATGTCAGTACATCAAATCTGTCCAACTAAGAGCTTCGTCTTAGTTTTCAATTAAGGAATACTACTATCTCACTGTTAATCAGTGTCAGACTCCAATTTAATCTAAAAAGCTAGAAAAGGATGTTGATGTATGTCCTTTCTGCTAAGAGCACTGCCGAACCTGTCAAAGTTGGTTGCCTGATTTTAGGCACTTCAGTCCATCTGCACTCACCTAAGGAAGGAGGCCTGATTTTTCTGAACCCTGATTAAGCACAGCTCCAAACTGCATCAGCTTTTTTGGAACTAAGAGAAATATGACGTTTTTTCTCCTGGGTCTCATCCGTGGCACAGTCAAAAGCTGGAACACTAAATCAAGCTCACATTGAGCAAACGGGTGAGGTAATTGCACTGGCTGCAGGAGGAACAACAAGCTCAGATCCGTGGCAGAAGAGAACTCCAAAAGACATGCACATTTCTCTTTCCTTTACAAGCATAGACACAAGTAAGGGATCAGCTTCTTTTCTACATTTCCTATATCCTATCGGTTCCCTATCAAATCACCCCAAATCAGCTATCCAAAAAGCTAGTTTCTGACTCTGTCTCCAAGACAGTGCTCTACAAGGAATTTGGATAGAGACTGGTGTTGCTTAGATGCATACTTCAAAATGGAGCAAGAGGTTCTTCAACCTCAGCAAATACGTAAGAATTAATCCCCACTGGCCTGTCTTCCCCGCTATCTGCAAAAAAACCCTAAACACCCCATTGTGTTTTATGTTCTGACAAAAACCCCCTAAGTGATAACATCAGTGCTCACAGCTCATCACAGGTGCATATAGTATCAAAGAACAGGGAGAACAAGATTCTGCATCCCTGCAAACATGGTCAATAGCACTCCAATGCCTTCTCAATGATGTAGGGAAAGGGGGGTGGAAAGAATTTAACCCCTGACACACATATACTGTGTTCCACCTATAAGTTTTCCTGAGTATCATGTTTTTGTGAAGGGATAAACACAAAACATATGGGTTGAGATTTGGGCCATGAGCTTTGAAAGTCAACACGTCCACCCTAACAATGCCCACTGACTTGCCAGGCAAATAGGTCAATAAATAGCAGAGAAAGAAACTGGTACAAATGAATGCACAACATGAAAGAACGTAGGGTATGAGGAAGTGCAAAATACGTGAGCTAAGTCTCTGGTTCCCAGGAAGAACAGAAGGAGGGTTTTGATGTATCATACAAATTCAGAGAATGGTTTAATATCAAGTTTATAAAACACAGGGATAACAACCCTGAATGGAGATGGATGACAGAGAGGAACCTCTACCTATAATGTCCTCACCACTGGCCTCCAAACATTCCAGGACTGTGAGTACTGGCTTGCGAATTTCGGCAGCAGGACATTTTGTCATTGCTCAGTTTGGTTCCTGCTAGTGCAGTTAGTGGAAATAAATTAAAAGAATCAAGAGAGCATCTAGCCAAACAAAACATGAACAGACACCAAGGAGGAAGAACCTAGCTGATCCACATGCATCCACACGCACACGCACACGCATGTAGAGAGTGAGAGAAGGGGAGAGAGAAGGTAAAAACATGGAAATATGTTTAAGACACCTGCTGAAGATTTGTAATTATATATATATAAAATTATATATATATGTGCATATAAACTTTATATATATATATAAAACAAAGCATTACTGCTGAGCAACACTATTTGGATTACTGGGATAAAGCTGTACAGTCTTGAGTGTCGTTAATAACACAGTTGGCTTCTGTCCCATCTGAACGTCACCCAATATGTTTCATTCTCCTTTTCCTCATTTCGTGAGCCCTCATATCCCTGAATAACTCTGAGGAACTGCCTGCTATCCTGACAGAGAGTCTTCTCCCTCAGAGTGATGGATTTTCCATGCATCTCAGAAAAAGCAGACCTCTTCACTCTCAGAAAAAGCACCTCAGAGGATCAAATTCCCCTTCTTACTCCAACAGACCTTCCAGAGAAGTTACCTGGAGTTCAACTTTAGTAATTGAAGATCTTAATATCTTATACACATGGAAAAAAAATAGAGTCAGTCCCTTCTAAACATTCTGCATTATTTTAAGTAATTGGGGCACAGTTAAACTGTATCTGCTGGAACAATCCTCAAAGAATTATGGGATCATGATGATGATGAAGACCCTAGATCATAATGTTAATTGTTACAATAGCAATAATCATGAAAACTAGAAATTTCATATTACGAATTGGTCACCTGTACCCTGCAAAAGGGGGTAATACTAGACAGAATTGCCAGGGTCAAATTAACAATAGCTGTTTTAACTTGAAGGTCAATTTATTTTCTGCCACTTCAATTTCTCTCCCATATTTTTCAAGCAATGATGTGTGTGAGCTGGTGACCACACAAGTGCTGGTGAATGAGATTGGTCTGTTCGTATTTTCACTGTTAAGCTGTCAAAGCACTCACACCAAAGGACTGAAGAACAAATTGCAATAGTCACAAGTACCCGCATTAAAGGGATGTTTTCATCCATGTGTATACAACTGCCCCCTAGCAACCCCAAAAGAAAACCCAAACAAAAACCCAACCCCGTCTCAAGAAACAGAAGAGCATGAAAGAAGAACAGAGGTGAGAAGAGCTGGGCAACGGGATGAAATGACAGCCAGTAGTGCGACGGGGGTGCGGAGAACCGCTCCAGTCTCTCTAATCCTCAAACACTTCCAGGAACAACGGAGGGAACAGTTCTGTGGGGCACTCCACCTTCATGTGCAGGAAGCGGCTGGCATGGCAGGCTCCAATCATTCGCAGGTCTGTCACTTTCATCAGCAGTTTTGGCCAAAAGTGTGCAACATGGTGTTTTCTGTAATTGATGTAGTGTTCGAATGCCAGGAGGAATCCCTCTTGACACTTTTCTATTCTCTCCACGCAAACAAGGCCTGGGCGATCTGTGGATACAAAGCAGCAGAATTATCGTTACTACTTATCTGCTTTAACAAGGTCCTGATTATAAATCAGGAAAAATAGGATGATTCCATTGCTAGGAAAGAAAGAAGAGAGACCATGGACATTTGGCTCTGCCAACTTCTTTCACCCTGGACACCTCACTTATCAGTACTGTCCCCATTGAAACAAGGAGATAATCCTTCTTTTCTTCATCCTTTGCCTGTTTTGCCCTTTTAGAGTATAGATGTTTGGGATGTGTCGCCTTAACAGTGACTAGAGCAACAGATCCCTGATTTCAGCTAAGGCTTCTACCTATATATTTCAGTAAAACAACTGATAAAGAAACAAAAAAATTACTTATCAGTTACGTAAACTACAGTTCCCTTCTATCTGTTTCTCTACAGTCTGACCAATGCTTTGATCATGCTTTGATCCCAGGTGAGCTGCAAAGGAAACTGTTATGGAGCACCAAGGTACAACAAAGGCCAAATATTTGCCTAACTATCTCAGCTGGCACCCAGCCCCTTCACAAGTCACTTCTCCGGAGACAGTTCTGGAAAAGCAGGTCCTTTGAACTGCCTTCTGAAACCACTACTCATGTATCACTGTATATGGAACTAAAAAGAAATCAAAATGTTTTGATTGGCAAGATCAAGTGCTGTGTTGTAATTTATGTGGAAACCTTTTCTGTCTCAGATGCAGTTATGCTTGCAAATCACTGACTGTATATTGTTTTCAGTGCCCAATCTTCAAAGCGGTTTTAAAATCTTGCCAAATCTGCCACTGCCCAAGAATGGAATTTCCTCTTTGGGCTGGCACAATCAGTGGAAGCATATTTGAAAATATACCCAAATTGAGAAGGTTATAAACTCTTTGAAAATCATATGATGCTGCTTCTGTATTATGCCAGCAAGTGACCATTTGCAAATGGTCCCAGTGTAGGAAAACAGCACAACTCTCAAATGCCCATTAGGGCATAGTGGTGCTGCTAATTAGGGAAACCAGGACAGGTCAAACTAAACATATGAGACTGATGGAAATATATATAACTGCCCAGTGCATGACAGTATCCAGGGGAAAAGGGAACTAACTTATTGTAAGGACCAATGTTGCTAAATCATCTGTTTTTCATTCAAGACACACTGGCTCTGAACCAGAACTGAGTTCTTTCTGATGATCATCCCTGCCTAATCTGTAAGTACCAAATTGAGCAAGGTGTGTTACCAAAGCCACTTTATGTCCATGTTTTTGAATACCCTGAATTTTTTTCCTAGTGCTTACCAAACTAAGTCTAAGCTGCATTGGGATTCTGAGAGAAAATTTCTCCCACTTTAGGCAGCACTACAAGATCTAACATATCTTATTTCTTTTAAAAAGAGGCTTATGACAAAGGCCAAAGAGTTTAAAAATAATTAGGATCCCAATATATTTCTATTCTCACCTGATGACATGAGCAGAACAGCCTGAAGAAGGGCAACCTCGGTGTCATCCAAGTTAAATGAAGAAAGAGACATGCCCAGGTCAAAAATGGCATCAGACACTACGCCAAGACCCCCATTTTTCAGCTGGCCCCTTGTCACCGCCATCTCCCCATTTAGTGTTAAAGTCTCACTCTCGGGGTCATAGCGAACTGCTGCTCGGAGGGACATTATCTCCATACAGCAGCCTTTCAGAAGGATGATCTGGTCTTCACATGGCAGCTGCAGAAATTATAAATGGTAAAGAAAAATATATGTTTGTCAGACTGAGTTGCTTTTACAACTACAATAAATCCATGAGCATGAAGTTGCAATTCACACCCCAGAACACTACCTCTCATGGTGCAGCTATGCTCCAAACACACTGCTGACTGACTGCACCACAAAAACCTCAGAGATTTGCATTCTTGCCTTCAGGAACTGCCAGCAGGTTAACATCCCCTCTTGAGCTCCCTCAGCTTACAACTTATAACAGAATAAACTATAATTGGGGCTGGTACAGACCTTGGCCATCCCATTTAATTCATGCCAGCCATGCTTATTTCTTACCTGACCAGAGATAAAGAAAGACATTTGGGAGGGTCTGTGAGAGTGGACTGTGTTTTAAGTAAAAGGAATGAAATAAATGTTTATATGTAGAGGAGATACCTGAATAGGTGGGGTAGTAATTCTCACTGCCCATTTAAACAACAGAGAACTTACTAATCTATACTTAGCCTAGTAAGGCTGTTCTCCCTAGACTCCCTATATTATCTATGGTACAGATACAGCTTTTACACTGGTGTCTAAGCTGTGATCTTCAAGGTATGGGGCTAAACATGTCTTTTCCATGACATTAACAAAGGCAAGTTGTCCAGATTGTTGGAGGCAGGTTCTGTATTTACAGAGTATAACCAGAATGCTGACACATGGGCAGAATGTGTTTCTGTAAATCATGTCTTTATGTTTTCATAGGTAATTCAATGATAGCAAAAACCACAGGGACTATGTTGAGACTGTTCATATATGTGAGCAGCAAGGGTGACGCATAAGAAAAAGCAACTCACTTCTACTTGGCTTTAAAGGAGGCAAAAAGCCACCCGTATCTGATTCATATAAAATTACTATATTTACCTGTTTTGCAATTCAAAATGAAACCGCCATGAACTACAAGTCTACATGGCAACTGTGTGCTCGCAAAGTACATTGATTTGGTGCAAAATGATGCAGAGTGGATGCCAGACAGTTACCTAATGCAAGTGGAAAGCAGTTCCCTGTTAGAGTTTTAAGCACAAGCCAGCCATGGTCAGGAAAATGAGTTGAATCATGCAATCACTTTCCCAGCAATATCAGCTTCAGGTGTGAAGTGTTTGATACAGAAGAAAATTGACTCATCCTGTTCCGGGCAAATCACTTTCCCTGCTCGGCTCAGTGGCACCCTCAGCTCAGCAGCAGTGTGGGGAAGACTGCACAGGCACAGTGGCAGTCTCCCTACCCAATGACAATGCCACTGTTTGGCTGCCGAGATTGAAAAAGGGAAAGGCACAGAGTAAAAAAAAATTAAAAGAATAGATCTGTGAGAGGAATCGTGCAGAGATATCAGAATAAACAACTACAGTGAAAAAAGGGACATGAAAGAAAGGAAGAGAGAAGAGAAAAAAAGAGAAATTAAAAAACCCAAACCTCTAAGGAGAAGAAAGAACAGTGGAAAAGAAAGATAACAGTAGAGGAGATATTGTGTGATGCTTTGCCTGTTTTATTATGAGCCATTAAACTAATGAGAAGTTCTCTTCCTACTTGAACTTTTTAAAAACTTTTTTCTGGTAGATGTGATTTGACTATGCCTGCCCTTCACTTGCTTCCTAATTCTGAAGGATACATGGGACATCCATTTCACAGATGCCAAGCCTCAGGTCTTATCTGCCAGTAGCAGGAGTTACCAAAGACAGGAGGCTGGAACGTCAGCTCTACTCTCAACTGTGCAGATTTTAACTCTACCTACACTCATCACTTGAGTGTTGCTACCAGAGCATCTTTCAGAAGTGGGGTCAACAAATATGACTGAATCTCTGTCACATGTTGACCTTTCCTCCTCTCTCTGCAGAGACAGGCAGGGAGAAAAAACAAAAGGCAGGAACCTGAGGTGCTCACCTCTAGAGGCAGGATGTGCAATGCAGCACCATGGAACTGAGCTGAGCTACCTTGAAGGGTATTGACATAGCTTCACCCACTGTGGAACCAGTGATGCCTGAGACACTTAAAACTCACATCACTAAATTCTCCTCAATCTTCATCTTCTAAGCAGAAGGAAATGCAAGAAGGAAACAACAGCAGAAATGCTGAGAAGTAAATGAAGTTTTTTATGCTTCAATTACTCTGGGATGGGATTCTTGTTTTGAGGCAGGGGCCAATGGATGTACACAAACTAAGCTGGGCACACACAGTGCTTCTGCATGTGTCCAAAGATGAAACAAAGAAGGAAAAGCAGCCATGAATATATAAGTGGCTATGGATGTTCCCTGTCATGTCCCTCTTTCATAGAGATTTACTACATTCTCAGCTTTAGCCTCTGTAGAATTAAGAATTGACATAATGTATAAATGGTCTCCTATGGGAGAAAGGATGGTTTTTTTCTCATAAACAAATCCATAGCCCACACAGTGTTTCTTCTATGAAAAAGATATGGGTTAAAAACCATAACTGAAATAAAGTTAACGTGATGGTGCCCCTTCAAAAAGAAGCAAATATTTGTCATTTTCTTCATGCTGCAGCAAGAGCTATACAAAAACTCAGAGGACAGCTGTCCTGTTCCTTTGTGTTCATGAGGAGTTGTCCCTCACTCTGCCATCAGACCTTGCCATCTATGGGTGTTAGGTTTACACAGGGGCTCAGCTGTAAACAAAGCTTGTCCAGTTGAGTCATGTAATGTACAAAGGTCATTCCCAATGATGCCTTGACTTCTTCATCCATGTTTCCTGCCTAGCTCTGACACAAGTGGGCCCATGGTAGCCAGGAGGGGTAGGAGATGTCAGATGGGCACGGACGTCTGTGTGTGACTGGCAAAGTTTTCTAAATTAAAAAGACTACCTTGGTATGTCACTGCAACTTCCCACCAACAAATGCCAAATTAGAGGAGACAGATTTCCTCAGACACTAAATGCTGCAGGGGCCTCTTGATCTATGGACACATTCCTCATATTTTAGGATCTTCACGCTTGGCCACCATTTCATTCTTTCTTGACTGATGGAGCCAATGATGAGGCTAGCCAGGATAACCTATTTACACAATGACAACTATTGATATTTACCTCTTCTTGTTCTGTAGGTGCTAGAGGACATACATAGCTCTCCATGACTGACCTTAAGGAAAAGTTGCCAGCCTCAGAAGAGTAAAATGCTGTGGGGCTGCCTTGCATTTCCTTCCTGACTGAAGCTATTAGGACAAAACACTGTTCCTGAGTCAGGGAGCCCCATGAACTCACTGACCACAGTCACTCCCATTTTGAATGCCATTCACTTGGCATTTCAGCAGCAGAGTAAAGTGCTGCTTTGAAGTGTGGGTGAACAGGCAGGCATCCTTCCATGGCTGGATTGGAGATATTCCCATGTTAAAACTCCCATGACTGGGAATCCTAAGGGGCTCACAAGACTTAAAATTATTCAAATAACAATATATTACTCTTAACCATATTCTAATTAATTATACATTATTTTATATTATTATTTATTATTACATTATATTATATTATTATCATCCCTGCAGGGCCATGCCAACCCCCACCTGTAGAAAAGCCACCTCCAGTGAGTGCAAGCGACCAGGAGTGCAGTGAGCAGTGTGCGTGAACAGTGCGTGGCACGTCAGCTGGGGCATGGCATGGCACTTCGTGCAGGCAGGGTGAGGATACACTACCAGCTCCAGAGCTCAACTGGCATCACTGCCCTCTTGGGGGGAGCTCAGGTATGGTACCCACTCAGCAAGGAGCCAAGTTGCCTACCTCGCCAAAAAGAACGTAGCGACCTAGACAGAGCTCCCCAAAAAAATCACATGGCTGGCCAGGTTTCAGGCTGTAGGGAGTGCCTAAGCCTTTCACTGGATTGTAGCAGAGACAGCATCTGCGTCAGATGTGATCACCATGCTGCTAGAAAACTATGACCTTGTTGCCATTATAGAAACTTGGTGGGATGAATCTCAGATTGGAGTGTGACTATTGATGGCTACAGGCTCTTCAGAAGTGGCAGGGGAGGAAGCAGAAGCAGAGTGATTGCTTTCTACATCAAGAGGTGGACTGAGTGTGAAGTGTTGTCTCTGAAGAACATCCATGAGCTGGTCGAAAGCCTTCTGGGTAGGAATCAGAGACCAAGGAAACAAAGGGAACCTCATGGCTGGTGTCTACTACAGGCCACCTGATCAAGGGGAGCCCACCGACAAAGCCTTCTTTCTCCAGCTACAGGAGGCATCATGCTGGCAGGGTCTTGTACTGCTGGGGGACTTCAATCATCCTGATATCTGCTGGAAAAATAGCACAGCAAACTGTAGGCAATCCAGAAGACTCCTGGAATGGAGGATAAATTCTTGAGCCAGCTAATAGACAGCCCTACCAGAGGGGATGTGATACTGGATCTGATGGTCAGCAACGTAGCGACCCAATTGGGGATGTCAAAATTGGAGGGAGCATGGGCTGCAGTGGTCATGCATTGGTGGAATTTAGAGTCCTGAGGTATATGGGTCAGTAAAGTTAGGCCACTGAACTTCAGGAAAGTGAAATTCCAGCTCTCCAAGGAGATGGTCAATAGGATCCCCCGGGAGACTTCCCTCAGGGACAAGGGAGTGGAACAGAGCTGGCAGATCTTTAAGAAAGTGTTCCACAGAGCATAAGAGCTAGCAAATCTCCAGAAGCAAGAAATTGGACAAGGAAGGCTAGTGGACAGCATGGCTGAGTAGGGAACTGGTGGTAAAACTAAAGGGAAAGGTACTGGAAACAAGGACAGGTAACTGGGAAGAATATAGAGAGGAAGTTCAGTTGTGTAGGGATGGAGTGAGGAAGGCCAAGGTGAAGCTGGAACTGAACCTGGCAAGACATGCAAAGAATAACAAGAAGGGCTTCTACAGGTCTGTTAACCAGAAAAGGCAAAAAAGGAAGGTCAAAGAAGGTGCACCCCCCTCATAAACAATACTGGTAAACTCATAACAACGAATGAGGAGAAGGTTGAGGTGCTCAACAACTTTTTTGCCTGTCTTCAATGGCAACCTCTCTTGAATGGACAGCAGGATGGGGACTGAGGGACTAAAGTCCTCCCACTGTAAGTAAAGACCACCTGAGGAACCTGAACACACATAAGCCTATGGGACTGTCAGAGTCCAAGCCACTCTCCATGATATTTGAAAAGTCATGGCAAAGTACCACGTGACTGGAAGAAGGAAAACATTGCACCCACCTTTAAAAAGGGTAGAAGGGAGGACTCTGGGAACTACTGGCCTGTCAGCCTCACTTCTGTGCCTGGGAAGATCATGGAACAGATCCTCCTAGAAGCTATGCTAAGGCAGATGGAGGCCAGGGACTGTGATTTCAGACAGCCAGCACAGCTTCACCAAGGGCAAGTCCTGCCTCACCAACTTAGTGGCCCTCTATGATGGAGTGACTACATCAGCAGACGAAGGAAGGGCTACAGATGTCATCTATCTGGACTTCTGTAAAGCCTTTGACACAATTCCCCACAACATCCCTTTCTTTAAATTGGAGAGAGATGGATTTGATGGGTGGACCGTTAGGTCCAGATGGAAGTGGTCAACAGCTCCATGGACACCAGTGACAAGTGGTGTCCCTCAGAGGTCTATGCAGGACCAGTGCTATTTAATATATACATTAATGGCAAAGATGAAGGGATTGAGTGTACTCTCAGCAAATTTGCAGATGACACCAATTTGAGTGGTGTGGTTGACCCACCTGAACAACAGGATGCCACCCAGATGGATCTGGACAACTTTTAGAAGTGGGTGTGTGGGAATCTCATGAAGTTTAACAAGACCAAGTGCAAAAGTGCTGCACCTCGGTCAGGGCAACCCCCAGTATCAATACAGGCTGGGGGATGAAGATCGAGAGCAGCCCTACTGAGAAGGACTTGAGGGTGCTGGTGGATGAGAGGCTGGACACGAGCTGGTAACGGGGGCTTGCAGCCCAGAAAGCCAACCTTATCCTGGGCTGCATTGAAAGCAGCGTGGCCAGCAGGTCAAGGGACGTGATTCTGCCCCTCTACTCCACTCTGGTGACATCCATCTGGAGTGCTGAACCCAGTTCTGGGGTCCCCAGCACAGGAAAGACACGGATCTGTTGGATTGAGTCCAGAGGAGGGCCACCAAGATGATTAAAGAGATGGAACACCTCTCCTATCAGGAAAGGCTGAGACAAATGGGATTGTTCACTCTGGAAAAGAGAAGGCTTCAGGATGACCTAATTGAGGCCTTTCAGTACCTCAAGCGAGCCTACAAGAAAGATGGAGAGAGGGACCATTTAAAAGGGTATGTGGTGACAGGACAAGGGGTGATGGCTTCAATCTGAAAGACAGTAAGTTTAGATTAGATATTACGAAGAAATTATTTCCTGTGAGGGTGGTAAGGCACTGGAATAGGTTGCCCAGAGAATTTGTGGATGCCCCATCCCTGGAAGTGTTCAAGGCCACCCTGGATGGGGCTCTGAGCAAACTCCAAGTAGTGGAAGGTGTCCCTGCCAATGGCAGGAGGGTTGGAACTAGATGATCTTTAAGGTCCCTTTCAACCCAAACCATTCTATGATTCTATGAAAATTATTTAGATTATTAAGACTGAAATATTATTTCAGGATGCAGCTCTGATAACATTTTTTAAATTAGGAAAAAAAATATAATTAGGCATTGCATCTAGTCCTTCAATAAAAATGATACCTCAGTGTAAATTAGATCAGCTTAGGACCTCTGCATTCCTAATGTGCAACCAAGTCTATTTACTGTATATTTTTGCATGTGAGTATCTACCTAAAATGACAATCCATTACTTTTGTAGATTCTTTTATGCACAACCTCCCTGTTCAGGAAAAGCATGTCTAAGGAACCCAGTGAGGCAAGTGTCACTCCTGGATAGGGGTGCTTTCCTGAATTTGAAGAATTTTTTACTGTGTAGACCCAACTCTACAATACTGTACCTGCCAAGGAGCCAGAAGGACATAAGGAACTGTGTGCTGTAAGATTTTATTACACATATCAACAACGCTTCTAGACAGTCATTTTTTGTTCGCTTGCTTTGTTCAAGGCCACCTCTAAAGACACATCTGAGTCCCTAATGAACCACAATAACCTCTAGAAAAAACCCTAATGAAATCAGGGTTTCAGTAATCATAAGAAAATTCATAAAATTCCAAATGATTCTAATCCCATCTATTTTGAGTCTCTTTAATTTTAAACATACTGAGTTTTTCAATTTCATGCCAGAGTATTTTGAATAGTTTTTAACAACAGGTGTATAAATGAGGAGTGCAAGGAAGTCTTCTTACCTCACAAAACATAGGCAACTTTTTGGCAAAATCCACCACTCTTGTAATCGCTGGTGTGATAATTTTTGTAAACTGGCTGAAGGCTTCTAAATCCACTTTCCCACCTTCTGGGGCATTAACTATTGGTGCCTGCCCAATATCTTCTGGCTAAGAATATAAATAAAGATATTTAAAAGAACAATCTATCTTAGAGCAATTACTTTATACTCTAAAATTAAAGTCCTGCTTGGTGGTGGAAGATATGCTAAAATAAAGAGTAACACTATTGGATTTATAAGTAATGTCCATTATATCACAAAATGTAATTTATTTGTAAGGCATTTGTGAAAGATGTGACTGCACAGAGAAATGGGTGACTGGTATGCTGCTACCCATCCTTTGTGGGCAGCTGCATTGTTGTGCACATGCAGCTTCTTCCTTGTGCTTGTATCTGAGTATTTTATGGGTGCAGTACATGTTACTTTTTCTTAAAAACATAGGTGTGTTGTTTCTTACAGCTGCTGAAAACTCTCAAGTTTCTCTAAAAGCAAAGAGAGTTGAGATGACATGTTACCCCTCAGAAGATCCCGCGGGCTTTGCAGAATTGGGCACTTTCACCTATTCAAAGTCTCCACAGAACAGGTGGCCAGGTATCACAGAGCCCCAGGCAACTGCCAAGGCCAGTTTCCAAAACTGGGCTAAAACAACTGATGAGCAGGAATGGGATAACACAAAGCTGGTCTGGATAATATGACCAGAATTTGAACTCATCTGGGTAAAATTTTGGTTGAAAATCACCTGTTGCATGGCTTCAGCCCAAGGCTTCTCCAAATGAGAAAAAAAAATCACATTTTGAGCATTTCAGTAGGAATATGCAATGAAACAGTTTCAAGCAAAATCTGCAATGAGTGTGTTTTCATTCCAACAGCACTTGAACTTGTTTACCTGATTTTTATGACAGCTGGTCAACACCATCATGTATTTTAAAAACAGGCATATCAAAGCTTTTTTGGTTTCTAAGTGTGGCTTTGCAATAGTAAAAGACCTGTCAAGGTTTCATTTTGTTCATATTAGAGTCAAAAACTAAATAAAACTCAGTGAAGAAAACTTTTAAGACTGACAGACTCCATGACATTTACATAAGACACTTAAACAGGGGAGGTGCTGAAAGTGCTGTCTCTAATAAAAACTTGTGCTCAGCCATTTTTTTAAAGTAACTCATAATAAAAGATCCTTCCACAGTTCTGTCACCAATCTGAATCCAAATCCAACTTCTTACAAGAAAAATCTCAGCAATGTGTTAATAAAGCAAGCACCAATTGTCAAGAAACAATGAAGAGGACTGGACTCAATTATCTGATGGTTTCTACTAAAAAACTCAAACCCAGTTCTAGGCTCCCTCCCTCCCTGAATCTTGGGTAACTAAACCACATTGTCTGTGTACTCATGATAAACAACCTTCATCACTTCCAAACAAGAAGACCAGATACTTAAAACCACACATAACTTTGTCAGGGAGAAAAAAAAAGAACACAGTATTTTCTTGGGAAAGGCAAAAGAAGCCAGGATCACTAGCTAAAGCTAACACACTGGAGAGCCCTTGCCACCTAACGCAACAGGAGAAGAGGTCCAGACCTCAAAGGAGCTCCTGTTGTCAAAGAACCAGCCTTAGCTACATAAGGACAGACCCACAGCTACTGGGGCATGCAATCAGCTTCTCTTACTCTTCAATAGCTTGTGGCAGGGGCTTTCAAAGTCCTCCACCTGGGGTTGGCATGCCATCCCAGACCTTCCCTTCTGTGCTCACTGCAAAGTGTCGGTGAGCTTCCTATGCTTGCCTTGAAACCACTAGACTTCAGCATCAGGAGTGAAAGTCACAGCTGGTTCATGAACTGCACCTTACAGTTGCCACCCCTATCTCTGCCCCATCCCTCCCCTCTCCCAGTAGCCCTGTCATTACACCACCTCATGCTCTGTTTCTGGGCACCTTTTGCTGGAGGTTCCCCCTCCACGGAGACAGTTTCCAGAGCCTGAAGTCCTGCAGTGACCACATTTTACATGGTCCAGCCTGTTCATTCCCAGCCCCAACCTCAAGCTCTCTATGCTTTATCCCAAACTTGGTGATACCCAAAGAACAGCACTCCTGTCTAAGCAACAAAATGCACTATTGCAGCTGCTTCTTGGTCTGCTAAAACCAGTGCCTCAAACTTTGCTCTGCAGCACCCCTAGAAAGTACCCTCTTGCTTCTTGCCAGTGACCACTGGCTGTGGTTTTTCTGACTACACGCCAGTATGAACACAAGCCATTCATATAGAAATTTAGATGGTGTCACTGGAATCTTTAAAAAAAGTCATTATAAGAGAGATCAGCTGCTTTGAATACATAATTTCTCTTACCAATTCAACCATGAGTTGTAATTCCCATGGTGAATTATGCAGCAGGAGCCCAGGCTTGCAAAAAGATGAGTATTCTCTATCTGATTTGCTATACACAGACTGTTAAAGACCCCTGTGTATTCCTGAAATGCAGTCGATAATCTCTCTTTTGTGCTGTATAAGCATTCTGCATTCTGCATTTTTCCCTTAAAAATCCATTTAGAAAAATCAAATAAATCCTTTTTTAAGGTTGAGCATCACAAATCACCCTTTATTTTCTAATCCTTAGTTACAGGATGAAAATGAAAGTTGTTCTGTAGCCTGCAATCCCAATGCTATAGTGTATGTATCATCCTGTTCTCATTAATTTTTCTTTGCCTAATTTATTTTAATAATGTATTCACCATTAACAAAAAGAAGGAAAGCCCACAAGTCATTAACAAAAATTACCAGCTTTCACCTAAAACTTTACATTGTTTTAACACTTACAATACGTTGTATGCTAGTCCCTAATAAAGACAACTATTCCTAGATATATTATATTAAATAAAATACGGTATGCATTATAGACTGCTACTGTTCTTAATCAGGAGTGAAACAATTTTTCTACCTTTTCTTATCATCGAACAATAAAAGTATCCAGTTGAGTTAGGGTTAACTCAGCAACATGATGTTAATCTTTTGAAACACGTGATCCGATCAAACCTGAGGTTCAGGCAAGAAAAAGCAAGTAGTAACTACACAAAATCATCCCTTTATCATAAACATGAACACACTGGCAGATAAAATCTCTCTGGGGTTGCAAGGCTGGGAAGGCACTTCAGAAGAAAGAATGGAACCTGGTTCCAAGAACAGTGTACAAGGCTACAGCCCTTACCAGAAATTTCCTTTTCTGCTTCCAGTGGCTTCCTTGTGCATTGGTGGCCACATGTGCTTCAGTAACAATTTTGATCAGCTCCCATTCCTCATCCGTTGGCTCTGGTTTGTGCCCAATGGTTTTCTGCAGCTCTTCCCGACGTCTCTTCTCTCGATTTTCTTCTATCAGCTTCCTCTTTGCCAACCGCTTGCTGTCATCCAACACCACTAGCAGGGGAAAAAACATACAAAAATGGCAGGAAGCTCTTAAGGCTGTTTGAACTTTGGTCTTTTCTCTGCCTGAGGTACTAATTGATTACAAACACTGTAACTGATCAGTAAAGAAGTACCCTGGGAAGACCCACAGTTGAGACAGTTCTCTTATTTCTCCCTTCCAACTTCTCAGAAGTCTAGATGGCAAAGAATGACTTCCCCTCCTGGCAATGTTTTGTATACTGCCATTGTCTTCAGGGGGTTATTCCACCAACAAAATTAACATGTAAAAGCTTTGTGAGGTGTCAAAGTGCTCCTATAATGGACTTGGAGTAATCAATGTTGGGAAATATGCACTTCTGTTTTCTCTGAAGCAGTATCAGCATGCTCACTGCTCTGTAGTGTAGAATGTGTTCTTGGGAGCCAGCAGAAGGTAACATGGATTGAAGAAAGTGGGAGTATTTATTCACAGGAGGCTCAACTGCCTGTTGCATGACACAAGCAGAAAAAACGTGCCTATTGTTTTGTCTTTCTTTAATCCCTAGAAATGGTGTTGTTATGCAATGTTCCTGTAGAGTCTCATGACTTTCAGTGATGCCAGATAGGCAGGCCCTGAGGCTGCACATCTCTGATCACCATCTCCCTCGTGACCCAGGGAGATCCAGCCCCTCTCCTGAAGGTCTACCTGGCTACAGTGAAATTGTCTCTTATTCTATTTCCCTTTGGACAGAAGGCACTGTTATGCACTACATTAACAATGAAAATACTGTTAGACTATTTTTCTGTTGTTTACTGGGCCTGTTTTCCTGTCAGTTCTTCTGCAAAGGATTACACTGGTGACAGCCATGAAGGCACAGGGGAATTTATGTGACTTCTGGGGGTTTTACATGACTTCTTCCCATTTGCACTAATTGAAGTTATTGGTGTAAATTCCTGTGCAACGGCAGGAAAAGAAGACCCGTAAGGGTTAATCTTACAGCCATATTTTCTAGTTCTTTAGAATGAGATTCGAATTCTTTGCAGCAGATAACTTCTTCAGGGCTAAAAATAAAACAAACAACTGCAGGATGACTCATACAATGACATTCAATTTCACATCCTCCAGAATTTTCTAAACAAGATGTTTTTATCTCAAGCAAAGTGTCCATCCAGATGCATTTCTCCCTCCTCTCCTCCAAAGAGTGAGCATTCCTACTGTTACTCAGCTTGGTAAGGCCAGGAGAAGGTGGAGCCTTATGAAGGATAAACAAAAAATTACAGCCTTATGAAAGTGGCTTGATGCAATGAGTGCAATTCACTGCTACAAGTTATTAAAACCAGAAAAGTGCTGGCAGTTCTGTTCTACTTTAACGACCTTCATCAATCAACATACTTTAAGCAAACACAGACATTGAAAAAAAAGGTACAAGAAAGAAAACCAGAAAAATATACTTACAATCTGTTGCCATGCCAACAAAGATACATTTTTTGAAGCGACATTCCTGGCACTGATTTCTTGTTACTTTGTCTATCACACATTTTCCTTCATATTTACAGGAATAGGTTGGATGGAGGTTCTTCTGAATGGTTCTTCTAAAAAAACCCTAAGTGCAAAACATTAATATATTAGAAAGTATTAGCATTGAGCAATTTTATCAAACTGGGAGCCATTTTGCTTTGTTAGGAATGTACCTAAGTATGCAAGATAACATATTTCATTCCATGAAGCTCTCAAAGGGGAAAAGAACAAATCAGTTTTATAGCGTATGGCATTTCTTTGAGTTAAATTAAAAATTAAAAACATATAGACATCTTAGGTAAATAAAGGTGTAAATAATGCTGTCTTGAGGCACAAATACTGTCTACCTTCTTCTTGTAGCCTTATGTTTTAATGTTTTAAATTTTTTTTGTATATAAAGTAGGATGTTTATTTTTGATCCCCTTTCCAAATTCTGTAATCGTTTTGAAGGATATTAGGAGGCATATACATACTTTTAATTGAAGAGCAGCTTCTGCAAATGATAAGAATGGTGGTGTGTATGTGCTAACAAAGGATGAAGAACAAAGAGTTCTACTCCTTTCTTTCCACAAAAGTCAAATAACCAACCAACCAACCAAATCTGGGCAAGACTAAGAATTTTGCAAATACAAACTACACAATCTCCGTGTTTGGCTCTAAATAGTGGATCCATAATTTATAAATTTAATTTGTATTTACCACACAATTAAAATAAAATCCCCATCACCACTAAAGATTCCTCTCTATATAAATCCATTCTATCTATCTATCTATCTATCTATCTATCTATCTATCTATCTATCTATCTATCTATCTATCTATCATAATCTAGACCTATACTGCCAATTGCAATAGATCCTAAGTTCGCGTGAACTAATGCAGTTCTGCTGAATTCACTGATTTATATATTCCATAAAGCCTGGCCCTAGGTAAAGAAATCAGATAAAATTTATCTCTGAACATCATGTATATAATCCTGGTATTAATTTCAACATGACTTTTCTCACTGACTTCCAAAAGAGCTGGATAAACTCCCCAAGACTGCAAGACATTAACAAGATAGCCTGTAAAGCAAGAAATTCATACTTCACTTTAATTTCAAGTTTCACCATTATTTGAGACTCTCTCATTCAGCAATGCAGCTTGGGATGACCTTGACATAGAGAACAGACGGACACCCTGGTCCCGTTTGACTGAGGCTGCTGAGAATGGCTTTGGTTTCAGTCAAAACAATGGCAAAATTCAAGTGAGATTTTACCTAATGAATAGTCTCTTCAGCTGGGATTTTATCTAATGAATAGTCTCTTCACTTCAGTAGGTGAAAGGTCTGTTTTTAATCATGTTAAATAACACCCAGTAAAATCTTACAGCAGTACGCAATACCTTTTAACACAGAATGTTGAATTAATATGTACAGATAAGTCTGTATTTCAGCTTGAGCTCCTAACTCCTGTGAAGACAATAAAGAACCTTGTCCTCATTAGAGTTTTATCTTACAAGATTCAGGTTGAGCTAAGAGTACAACTCTTTATTCCATTATTACGTTAAGATTTGAAATGTTAATTAAACTGAACGGCATAAAGCTTGTGTGTGAGCCTTTGCAAGACCGGGACCAGTTCTGTTGAGACAAAATCCAGGAAATCACAGGCAAGATATCCTTATGTGGGGTTTGGAACAAGTCTCAAACTCTCATCTACACGACAATTGGTTTTAGTTCCATTCTCAACCCTGTGATGAATTCCTAGGATCTGCCACTCTCCTCCCTGAAGTCCAAAGATGGCTGTGGACAACCAGAGTCCCAGGGTTATCTCTGGTTACAGCAAGAGACAGAAAAGCCTCTGATGAATCTCAGCAAGTGGTACTGAACTTCTGTTTTCCAAACCTTGCATGAGACTTAATGTAGCTCTAGCTTCACAATGGCAAGGCTCTTCATCAGCTCTGTTGGGACCAGCTCATTTCATATTCTCGTTTCATTGCATTGATCAGAAACTTTTGTGAAAAAACTTCTTTGTCCATCCTTAGAAACAATGTATTAAAGAAGCTGCTCTCTACATTTGCCCAAACAGTTCATCACAGGAGTGTTATTTTCATCAATAAAAGAAATCACATTTTATTGGTAGGTAACAACTCTTTCTAAATTTCTTTACTATGCACCTATATAGCAGTAGATGCAATGGGTAAAATCTGAAAAAACATTTCAGTGATGTCAGAACTTGCTGTTTGTTTATTTGGGTTTAAATTCCTTACACTTTACTCTTCAGAAATCACTGGTGAGGATGTTTTTCTCATGAAAGCACTTGCCAAAGCAAATCTTTGGCTGTCAGCCCTGATTAATCTTGTTACAAAACTAAGGTGACTTTGAGTGGAAGCAACTAGTAAATGTAAAATTAATTGGAAGTTGATTATATATATAGTATATTGATATATATAACTTCGCTGATAAATCACACAACTTGAAATGCGTATGCAGCTCCTCACAGAATTTAAGTACTTTTTGCAAATTGTTAGCTCAGTTCCTTGTGCACACAAGCATTATTTTAAATTATGCGCCAGACAGAAGTACTGTATCTGAATATAAAAGTAGAGTTGTATGGTATGTCTCTAAAGTAGTTGGTAGGTATAAAAAGAAGTACTTCAGTTGGAGTAACAAAAACCTTAGTAGGAAAGCTGGCAAGAGGTACAGCTGTTCAGCTGGGAGCAAAAGATATGTCATAATGCCACAGTGCTGTTTACTTCCCATTATATCTGAATTAAATCATATCCATGTTATCATTTGTTATATGGAATGCAAATATGTAGGAATCACTTGTTAAGCTCCACAGTTCTTTTCAGATATAAATATTTTTTCATACCTAGTATGTATGTATAAAACCATTATGAATATTAACACCTACCTGCTATACATAGGATATTTAGGTCTCCGTGCATTTCATAAATGTAACTTAGGGCAATGCTATACAAACAGAGCAACTACTTCACCACAAGAGTTACTGCAATGAGGGGCTCTAAAATCAATCCAAGCCCAAAATCTTGGATCAAAATGTTCCAGACGTTGGGGATGAACAGAATGAGACTTTTGTGGCTTAGTCTCATTACACTAGTCCAAGGCATGTGTGGTCCTATTTGTTCAGAAAAACAATAATTTTTTATTTTCTGCAGGAAAGAATAGCTTTCTTACAGGATCTCAAGCTATTCATGCAAATTGATGGCAGTGAAATCATGTGAGATGTGCCTGATTCTGTTACTCATTTTTTTTTATTTACTTGCCCAAAGCAATCTCTTTTTTAATTTAATTTTGCATGTAGTTTTGGAGATGTAATTTAGGTCTGAAAGCACATTTCAGTATGCTTATGTTAAAGAAGTCAAAATCTTTTTGAAACTATTTTAATTGGGTGTCAATGCTTTGATGGATGTTACTGTTGTATGAGCATGTGGAAGGGATTTTGATTTTTGCCTTTTCACAGTGATGGTGAGAGGCATTGGAACACTGTTAATTGCTACAGACTCTTCATGGCCATAGGCAGAACCTCAGCTATTGCATAAACAGCTTCAGTGGAGTTGCTGGGAGCATGCTGATGTACTCTGGCTGAGAACATGGCTAAAGGAACATTAAAAAATGGAAATTCAAAAGCTAACTGTTAAAACAGCAACAGCAACAATCTAAATTTCTTGTTTTCTTTTCAGAAGCAAACACGGCAAAAATCAACGATATTCCTTATGCATATGAAGAGCAGCAGCATAGCCAGATATGGCTTATCGGATACGGTACTGGATGTTCTTATTCGCTTCTAATCTGTCTTTTATTTGACAGCACAGTCCAGGAAGTCTGTATAATGGAGGAGCTGGAGAGCTATTTCTGATTCCCACTTTCCCACTGTGCCATTTACCTTGCAACCTTCGCAAGTGATGCAGCGATAATGATATCCGGTGGCTTTGTCCCCACATACTACACATAGCTCATCCTTGTCTAAGTAACTGGGTATATACCCTGCAAAGAAAAAGAGGATGTGGCATGTAAACTTGATACGATACATTTGATATAAAAAGCTTATATTAAAATCCACTGTAGATCTTGTCTACCAGTCCCATACTTCTGAACTCACTGAATTTCCTGAATAAAAGTTCATACTATGTTACAGACTTATTTAAACACAGTCTTTAGTATCTTCTACTCTTCAGGCTGTTTCAGCATCGACTGGTCAAGAGGGAGAAGTCAGAACACGATTGCTCTCTCCTGAGTGAAATACTACCTCAAAAAAATATTTATTGTTACCTCAAAAGGTTTGGTGTGAGATAATAAGGTAGCAGGGAGACATACAACATATTTCTCTTCTATATTTCAGAAAAAAAATGATATACTTTTACACTGCAGAAGAGATCCCAGGTTTCAGCATGACTCAGGGACTTGGTAGCAAGAAATATTTACTGACAGATTGTTTGTTTTAAAACAGAGGAGTACTAGGAACAGATAGCCCAAGCTGTATTGATCATGCCTGACCTGGACGTGTTCCACAGGAACATTTAATATAGTCTGAATTTAGGGCAAAATATGTGGGCTTTCAAATATATGTATGTGTGTATATGCATGTGTTAGAATGAAATCTTCTCTTCTGAAGTGGTTTACCAGATCCAGCAAGTGAAATCAAATATTACTACTGTGAAAAACATTGGCAATGCTTGGTTCTTTTCCCACAATGGCATTTGCTTTGATAACATAAACATATTTTCAATTTGAGTAAAAAACCAAAGCAATTCTGATGGCAACCAAAAAGTAATTTTAAACTAAACACAACTTTTAAACAGGGAAAAATACAAACCTTTCAAAATCAGTGTTCCTTTCAAAATCAGTGTTCATATGACTCATAACTAATGGAGTTACGGTACATAACTTTTTCTTCTGAAAAATCTCCCTGTGAAGATGTAACACAGAGATCTCAGATTCCCTTTGAGGGGAGAGAGGAAAGTGCAGCTATTTATATAACTGCATAAGATCACTGAAGTGTTGTAAACTTTTCACAGATTCCCAGAATGGCTGAGGTTGGAAGTCACCTCTGGAGGTCATCTAGTCCAACACCCCCGCTCAAGCAGGGTCACCTAGAGCCAGCTGTCCAGAGCCATGCTCAGATGGCTTTTGAGTACCTCTAAGGATGGAGACTCCACAAACTTTCTGGGTAATCCGTGCAGTGCTCTGTCACCCTCACAGTGAAAAGAAAATATTATTTTATTGTTCTCAGAAAGAATTCCTTGTATTTCTATTTGTGCTCATTGCCCCTTGTCCTGTCACTGGGTACCACTGAGAAGAGTCTGTCTCTGTCTTCTACTGTATGGGAGATCAGGTATTTACACAAACTGATATCCCCTGCCGAGCCTTCTCTGCTCCAGGCTGAACGGTCCCACCTCTCTTAGTCTCTCCTCCTAGAACAGATGCTCCAGTTCACCATCTCTGCGGCCCTTTGCTGGACTTGTTCCAATATGTCCACTGCAATGTATTCCACTAGAGCTGAACAGAAGGGAAGAATCACATCCCTCAACCTGCTGGTGATGATTTTCCTAATGCAGACCAGGATGCCGTTGACACTCCTTGCCTCCAGGGCACACTGCTGGCCCATGTTTAACTTGCTGCCACCCGGAGCCACCAAGTACTTCAACCAAAAGCACTTTCCTGCCAGTCAGGACCCAGCCTGTACTGCTGCGTTTATTATTCCTCCCCCAGTGCAGAATTTGGCATTTCCCTTTGATGGAACTTCAAAAGATTCGTCTCATTCCATTTCTCCAGCCCGCCTAGGTTGCTCTGAATGGCAGCACATCCATCTGGTGTCCCAGCCACTCCTCCCAGTTTTGCATCACCTGCCAACTGTCTGAGTGCAATTTATGAGTGCAATGAGGGAGATTCCTTTGGATGTGGCTGCTTGTAACACCATCCATTGCCACTGGTTTGCTGAACCCATCTGTAGCACCACACATTAGGCCAGACTTCAAGTTTGCTGTCTTTATGCAGCCCCCACACCAGTACAGTTCCATACAGCTTGGGGCCTTGCGACACCGGTCACAAGGAAGGCAACCAGCAACAAGACTCAGGGCAGCAGAAGGCTTTTGGAGGATGCTGCAAGAGGGGTGGCCATCATCTTCCTGCAACTAACATGCCAGAGCATCAGATCAGTAACAGACAGCTTAAATTAAAGTGCCTTCCTAAGACTATACTTCCAGAGGTTCTCCAGAAAGGAAAGCCCAAATCAGAGAGAAAACAGTTGAAATTAACTGAGCTTAAAACATTTAAACATTATGGAGGCTGGTGAATAGATTAGGTGAAAGTAAAGAAGGCAGAAAATATTTGTATGGCCTAGTTTGAGCATAATTATGAGAACCTCAAATTATAGAGGAACATATATCCCTCTTTTGTAAAGCCAGGAAGTAGTAGCACTCTGAAGCCATGCCTAGGTATGGGCTTCTCAGGTCTGCTGATACTGGCATCTGAAAGGGGAGTGGGGGAATGAGCTTAGATCTTACTGATGTACCATACCTGTCTAAAATACAGCAAGAGATCAGATTTACATTCAGGTTGCATTTCTCCAGGATGAACAGGTTATGCTTGGATAGACTGGTGGCCATGTGGAGCTGGTTCTGTGACCTTGAGGGTTGAGAGACAGCAGGGTTTCGACTCCAATTTACATCACTGACTCCTAATGGACATTATGCCAGTGGGGGATTAGCAGAGGCTATTATCTTCATCCTGCCCCCACTTTGCTCACACCTGCCTCTGCACATGCAACACATACACATCATAGAGCTGATAGAGGAGGCAGAAGAGGCAGCAAAGGGATGCAGAATTTTCCCCTAAATTTCTCACAAAGATCGATGGCTTCTTGTTATTGCTGGCTACTGCTATTCATGAAATGCAGACTTTATGTAGCATACACTACGTCATCCAAAATTCAGTATCCCTGGTTTGCTTTCTTAAGAATTGCTTCTGAATTAAATGTCTTGATATTCCATTAAGTATATAATCTGGTTAGTACTGCTCACGTAATGGCAACTTTGTTCTGCTGGAGGAGCAGAAGACCACTTGTCTAAACCACTTCCTTAAATATATACAGTAGCTCATGCACATGACCACTGCTGTCCACCTCCTTCTTGGAGTTTCAGGACTTTATCCAACCCAGGAAACAGTTTCCAGTCTGGCAGAAAAGACAATCTCCTATAAGCACTCCTAGTCAGAGATTAAAAATGGTATCCTCACATGAAACCACTCCCTGTTTTCCTGCATCAGAAGTGCTAAGTGCCACCTACTTAAGCTACTTAAATATTATGTTCAGTACTTTTGCAGGACTGCACCCCTGTCACCAGGGAAGCACACATTTGGAACTCTTGTACCGATTCAACAGGAAACATGAATAGAAAAACCTTATCCCAAGAAATCACTGACAATAAAAGTGTGCAATACATATATCTTTTCTTTCTATTACAGATCTACACTTTTGTATATTTTTAACACTCTTTCCAACAGCTAATGGGGTCAGAAACAGCTAGAAAGCAGGAAAATTGAACCTTCAGTAGGTTCAATTTTTAAAAGATATAATTCAGACAAACAGATATCACTCTAAAAGGAATAAGGGGATTTATATTCAGTTCTTACAAACTGGAATGTCCACTGCAAATAATTTCTAGTAGTGGCAAATATTCTGTATAACCTCCGTATAAATTCTATGCAATTTCATTTGAAAGATGTGTAGATAAGCAGCCTCAGTGCATTTTTGCTGCTTCTCAGAGTTAGAAACAGTCTCAGCAGGAAGAAATTCAACACTGTTTTTCTAAACATGGTACCAGCATGAAAGAAATGAATAGTGCAAATGGAGATTCTTGAGGAAGCTGTGGATGACAGCAGAGTTATCTGTTAAATGGTTTGAGGAAAAAGCAGAGCAACAGGCTTGTCTCACTCCTTGCACCACTAATAGGAACTTGTCTCTCACATTGGCAAGTACTTTTGCTTCATGTGTGCATAACTCTGAACCAAAAATAAAAAATCCTACATGGGAAAGCAGATGCTGGACAGAGTAACTCAGGTGTTCTCCTGCGAAAGAAGAATGTCTGATAAGAAATCTCATGGGAACATTGGGTAGGTTCCTACTTCTGGTGTTCATATTTCATCCTTTATTTCTTGGTCAAAACCTGCTAAGTAAATAGCTATGAGGAACCATTCAAGAGCAACATCAACCTCATTGAACTGTACAATAACAACCAACATCATTCCTTGCTCTTTCAAGCCTCTGTCTGCTGCATTTCAGCATCCTCATGGACCATCATTTGGAGCATCCTGTATGATCCTGAAAGTTAACTGTCTGTCAAGTCATACTTGACAATGTTTATCCCAATGCCCATCTTGGATCTTTGCTTTGAGCGGAGAATAACAATGAATGATCTTGATCTGCCGTGCCTGGTGTTTCCTCTGCAGCCTAAAGCAACATCTTTGCTCCCCAGACTCCCACCTGCCACTCTGCCTAATCTTACTGTCTTGGCAAAGCTAAGTACTCAGCAGGACCAGTTGAACCTATCTAGATGAGTATGTCATATAATCCACTATAGTCAATCATGATGGCGATTTACAATACCTTTTAAAATTGTAACTGTAGCTTTCTAGAGGTACAGCAAGGAACAATTCCCTTCGATAGGAAAACACGCAATGAGTTTGCCTCAAGTAGACATAAGGACAGAAGGAGATCTGCTAACCTACGCAGTCATCTGAGGTACTCTTTCATTAATACTGTATGGATACACTCTTGAATCACCATTTGCAGGAACGACACCTTAAAGCAGCATATGTGACCCTGCACAGCGTAAGAGGTTAGAGAGACACCAATGAGACACTTGGTGGCTATTCATCCATGTGACAGGGCAAAGAAATCTATTTAAACTAAAACAAACCATGAAAAATTATAGTGGTTGGTTTTCTTTTTCCTCTGTACCTGGCACACATTACCAGAAAAAAAAAAA